CATGTCCCCTCCTGGCTCTTCTTAGCTCTCTCTTTAGGTCCTTCCTGGCTAACTTGTAACTCTCAAGTGCCCTAACTGAGCCTTCACGCCTCATCTCTACATAAGCCGCCTCCTTCCTCTTGACAAGAGATTCAACTTCTTTAGTAAACCACGGTTCCCTCGCTCGACCACTTCCTCCCTGCCTGACAGGTAAATACTTCTCAAGGACACGCAGTAGCTGTTCCTTGAACAAGCTCCACATTTCAATTGTGCCCAGCCCCTGCAGTTTCCTTCTCCATCCTATGCATCCTAAATCTTGCCGAATCGCCTCATAATTGCCTTTCCCCCAGCTATAACTCTTGCCCTGCGGTATATACCTATCCCTTTCCATCGCTAAAGTAAACGTAACCGAATTGTGGTCACTATCACCAAAGTGCCCACCGACCTCCAAATCTAACACCTGGCCTGGTTCATTACCCAGTACCAAATCCAATGTGGCCTCGCCTCTTGTTGGCCTATCTACATACTGTGTCAGGAAACCTTCCTGCACACATTGGACAAAAACTGACCCATCTAAAGTACTCGAACTATAGCGTTTCCAGTCAATATTTGGAAAGTTAAAGTCCCCCATAACAACTACCCTGTTACTTTCGCTCCTATCCAGAATCATCTTTGCAATCATTTCCTCTACATCTCTGGAACTTTTTGGAGGCCTATAGGAAACTCCCAACAGGGTGACCTCTCCTTTCCTGTTTCTAACCTCAGCCCATACTACCTCAGTAGACGAGTTGTCATCAAACGTCCTTTCTGCCACCGTAATACTGTCCTTGACTAACAATGCCACACCTCCCCCTCTTTTACCACCTTCCCTGATCTTACTGAAACATCTAAACCCCGGAACCTGCAACAACCATTCCTGTCTCTGCTCTATCCATGTCTCCGGAATGGCCACAACATCGAAGTCCCAGGTACCAACCCATGCTGCAAGTTCACCCACCTTATTCTGGATTCTCTTGGCATTGAAGTAGACACACTTCAAACCACCTTCCTGCCTGCCAGTATACTCCTGCGACCTTGAAACCTTATTCATAATCTCACTACTCTCAACCTCCTGTACACTGGAGCTACAATTCAGGTTCCCATCCCCCTGCTGAATTAGTTTAAACCCTCCTGAAGAGCATTAGCAAATTCCCCCCCCCCCCCGGGATTTTGTACCCCTCTGGTTCAGGTGTAGACCATCCCGTTTGTAGAGGTCTCACCTACCCCAGAATGAGCCCCAATTATCCAGGTATCTGAATCCCTCCCTCCTGCACCATCCCTGTAGCCATGTATTCAACTGCTCTCTCTCCCTACTCCTTGCCTCGCTAGCACGTGACACGGGTAACAAACCAGAGATAACAACTCTGTTTGTTCTAGCTCTAAGCTTCCACCCTAGCTCCTTGAATTTCTGCCTTACATCCCGATCCCTTTTCCTACCTATGTCGTTGGTGCCTATGTGGACCACGACTTGGGGCTGCTCCCCCTCCCCCTTAAGGATCCCGAAAACACGATCCGAGACATCACGGACCCTGGCACCTGGAAGGCAACACACCAACTGCGAGTCTCTCTCGTTCCCACAGAATCTCCTATCTGTCCCCCTAACTATGAAGTCCCCAATGACTAATGCTCTCCTCCTCTCCCTCCTTCCCTTCTGAGCAACAGGGACAGAATCTGTGCCAGAGACCTGTACCCCATGGCTTACCCCTGGTAAGTCATCCCCCCCCAACACTATCCAAAACGGTATACTTGTTATTGAGGGGAACGGCCACAGGGGATCCCTGCACTGTCTGCCTGTTCCCTTTCCGTCCCCTGACTGTAACCCATCTACCTTTTTCCTGTACCTGAGGTGTGACTACCTCCCAGTAATTCCTCTCAATTACCCCCTCAGCCTCCCGAATGATCCAAAGTTATCCAACTCCAGCTCCAATTCCCTAACACGGTTTCCGAGGAGCTGGAGTTGGGTGCACTTCCTGCAAATGAAGTCAGTGGGGACAGTAGTGGTGACCCTTACCTCCCACATTCTACAGGAGGAGCATGCAACTGCCCTAACATCCATTCCCACTGTTCTGAATTCCCAAACAGACTATTGGGAAAAAAAACTAGTAACCTTATCAAATCGACGCTCAGAACCTTTTTTTTTGGTTAGAGGAGGAGGAGGATGGGTGGGAGACACTACCTAAGTAGTGTTTCAGGTAAAGCAACTGCCCAAATATATTACCTCACTTACTCGGCCTTCCCGTGTCTGCTCCTGCTCAGCGTGCGCTCCGCCTATTCACGAGGTAAGTTTTTAAAGGATTAACTTACCTTCCCGGCAGCCCCCTGGTCCTCGCTCTCACTGCTCCCGCTGCTGCTGCAAAAATGGAGGTAAGTCCACAAGGTAAGTCTTTTAAAATGAAAAGCTCACTCTCTCCCGACTCCCGCCGCTGAACAAATGGAGGCCGCTGATTCCACGAGGTAAGTCTTTTAAAATGAAAAACTCACCTTCCCAGCAGTCCCCTCGCACTCTCTCCCGACTCCCGCCGCTGAACAAATGGAGTCTAACAGAATGTAATCTTCTCCTGTTACTCCAAAGCCACCATCTACACCGTACACAGTCAAGCGTGTGATGGAACATTTCCCACTTACTTGGATGAGTGCATTCCAACAACATTCAAGAAGTTTGACACCATCCAGGATAAAGCAGTTTGCTTGATTAACATCACGTGCAAAAATATTCACCTATTTTACCACTGATGCTCAGTAGCAGCATTGTGTACTCCCTACACGATGCACTGCAGAAATTCATCAAGACTCCTTAGACAGCATCTTCCAAACTCCTAACCTGTACTATGTAGAAGGACAAGGGCAGCAGATAAATAGGAACACTACCTTATGCAAGTCTCTCTCCCTCCCCCACCCCCTTCCTCCTGTCCCTCCACAAAGCCATTCAGCATCCTGACTTGGAAATCTATTGCAGTTCCTTCAATGTTGCTTGGTCAAAATCCTGGAAATCTCTCCCAAATGGCATTGTGTGTATGTACCTAGACGAAATAGGCTGCAGTGGTTCAAGAAGTAGCTCACTACCACACTGAGCACCGAGGGATGGACAGTAAATGCTGGCTCAGCCAGCAGTGCCCACATTCCATGTGTGAACATTAAAAAATATACCTCAACTCTGGGTTTATTTCCAAATAAGACTTAATAAATAACAAGCAGTTGAAGATCAGCTATCCAAGTAGCAGTGGAATAGTGTGAATTTACTAAAAGACAGACATCTGTTAATAATCTACCTCTCTTTGAAAAAATAAAAGAAATACCTCAACTTGGTAATCCAACTAATCTAAAGAAACCATGAATAGTTGTAATTTTGCTACTCGTTCTTGTACTGACTAAAGGATAGGAACCTGCACTGCCATTTCACAAAATCATGGCTGATCTGATTGTGGCTTCACTTCCACTTTCTGTTTGTCCCATAAGACTTGACTCCCTTTGTCAATTAAAAATCTATCTGACTTCATCTTGAATAAATTCAATGACCTGGTCTCCACTCTTACTGGGGAAGAGAATCCACAGACTTAATGACCCTCTCAGACAAAAAATGCCTCCACACCTTCACCTTAACTGAGAGACCCATTACTTTTGAACTGTCTCCTCTAGATCTATATATATATATAACCCTAACCCTATCTAGATCTCCTATAAGGGGAAACATCCTTTTAAAGTAAGCTTCCAAATTGTCATGTCTCTTCAAGATCTTAAATGGTTCAATACGATCACCTGTTGTGCCTCTGAAATCCAAAGGACTTGTCCAACCTTTTCTCATCAGACAACTCCTTTGTTTCTGGGACTAACCAAGTAAACCTTGTCTATTTTGTTTTCAATTCGGTTATGTTATTTTTCAAATAATGTAAACTGAATACGGCACTGCCTCTGTACAGGGTGTTGAGACTACAATTACAGCAAGACATCCTACCTTAATATTTTGTTACCCTTGCAGTAAACAACAGCTTTCCATTCACTTTCCTAATCACATAATGTACTTGAATAACTAATTTATAGAGACATTTGCCATTCAATCATCGAATCATATTGAATAGAACACTGATGGCCTAGTGGTATTATCGCTGGACTGTTAATCCAGAGACCCGGATACTGTTCTGGGGACCCGGGTTCAGATCACGCCGTGGCAGATGGTGGAATTTGAATTCAATAAATACCTGGAATTAAGAGTCTAATGATGACCGTGAATCCATTGTCGATTGTCGGAAAAACCCATGTGGTTCACTAATGTCCTTTAGGGAAGGAAACTGCCATCCTTACCTGGTCTGGCCTACATGTGACTCCAATGGGGTTGACTCTTAACTGCCCTCTGGGCAATTAGGGATGGGCAATAAATGCTGTCTAGCCAGCAATGCCCTCATCCTGTGAATGAATAAAGAAAAAAAAATTACTGTCTTGCATTTGTTTTCTCTTTGACAGTTTATTTCTGGGCAACAGTTATTTCCCTAGTTACCCTTGAGAAGGTGAACTGCTGCAGTCCACTTGCTGTAGGTTGACCCACAGTGCTCTTAGGGAATTCTAGAATTTTGACCCAGCAACAGTGAGGAAAGGTGATACATTTCCAAATCAGGATGGTGAGTGGTTGGGACGATTGTGGAACTTGGGGCTACTGGTGTACTCAAGTATTTGCTGCTCTTGTCCTTCTAGATTAAAGTGATAATTAGTTTGGAAGGTGCAGTGTAAGGATCTGAGTGAATTAGTCTCGTCTTTCTCCAGATCCCTACAATGTTGGTTCCTTCGAGTGTATGTCCAATTCCCATTTCCATGTTCATACTGGATTTGCTTACTTCCCTTTCACGCAATGCATTCCAAGTCAACAATAATTACAGCTTTGGGCCAGGTGGGGCTTCTGATTATTTACCCCTAAACTTGCGTAAGATTTTGGTAACATGATACTATTTTGAATTTTGTCACTAATGTTTTGAGTACCTTTAATGTTCACTCCCTCCACCACCACACAGTGGCAGCACTGTGTACCAACCAGAAGATGCACTGCAACAACTTGATGTCATCCTTTGCTGGGAGACTGCAGTGTGATGGTAATGTCACTAAGCTAATCATCCAGGTACCGTGCCCTGGACACTTTTGTTCACCATGCACCACAGCAGCTAGTCAAATTTATAAAGCCTGGAATATATGGTTAGTCCCTGTAATAATGCCATGAAACTACTATCAATTCTCAAAACCAAAACCCAGCTGCTTCACTTTTAGGGAAGGAAATGTATCATCCTTGCTTGGTCTGGCCTATATGTGACTCCAAATCTCCAGCAATGTGGTTGACTCATAACTGCATTCTGAAATGGCCTAGCACATCACTCCGATCAGTTAGGGATGCACAGTAAATGCTAATTTTTGCCAGTGACTCTCAGGTTCCATACAATAATAAAGAAAATGAAACTCAACAAGGCCCCTTAAATTTCAAAACCTGGGACTCCAAACACCTAGGAGAACAGGGCAAGCAGACATATAGGTACACCTGCAAGTTCTTGCCCAAACCTAATTTCTACTCCTATGTCTTGTGGTCTGATTTGGGTCCACGTATGATAGATAAAGTTGAGCAGTAAATGCTAGCCTATTTAGCCATGCGCATGAATTTTAAAAGAGGCATTCCAGTGCACTGGATCCTTCTGTACTGCACAGTTTTTAAATATCTTCGTTGGAATGATGCGGTACTTTTCCAGTTTTCTTGCCAAAATGAATAAATTCACTTTGGTTCAAATCTCCTGGTCTTCAGATCATTCAAGAATAGAGATATGAATGCAGGTGTGTGTTGCGATTCTGTAGAAGTTCTCATGTGGTTATATGTGGGATTTGCCTGGGAAGTTTCAACATATAGAGCCATTAGTCATTCAGTACAGAGGCAGGTGCTCGGTCCAACACGTCCATGCTGACCAAGTTTCCCAAACTAAACTAGTTCCACTTGCCTGCATTTGGCCCATATTCTTCTAAACCTTTCCTATTCATGTACCTGTCCAGATGCCTGTTAAATGTTGTAACTGTGCTTGCATTTACCATTTCTTCTGGCAGTTTATTCCATGTACTTGGACCCTCTACAAACTTATGCAACCCCTGTGTTGGAGATTCGGGACAGTTTGTGGGAATTTCCTCCTTTATTCGTTGATGGGATGAGGGCATTGCTGACCAGGCAGCATTTATTTCCCATCCATAATTGCCTGGAGGGCAGTTTAGAGTCGACCACATTGCTGTGAGTCAAGCTTCACATGTAGGCCAGACTAGGTAAGGATGGCAGTTTCCTTCCCTAAAGGACATTAGTGAACCAGATGGGCTTTTCCCAACAATCAACAATGGGTTCACGGTCATCATTAGATTCATAATTCCAGATATTTTATTGAATTCAAATTCCACCATCTGCCCTGGTGGGATTCGAACCTGGATCCTCAGAATATTATCTGGGTCTCTGGACTAATAGTCCAGTGATAATACCACTAGGCCATTGCCTGATATGTTACCTAGGAAATGTTAGACAAAAAAAAAGTCTAACACATGGATAGTTCCAGAACAGGCATCCAGTCACTCTCACTAACTGTCCCCCAGTTACTTGGCCTTGATTCCTTCCTCAGCAGCCACTTTACATCTCACATCCTATCTCACCCTATTCACTTATTTGTTCACTTGCCCATTCATTTAAAAAGGAGCGTGTCCTATCTTCTCCCAGATTCTGCCACTCTGTGATGGAGCTCTCAAAGAGATGTTGTAATCCAAATAGCTGGTAAAGCTGGGCTTGGAGGATGTGGCACAAAATGTGGAGCAGTGTCAAGTCGTGGAAATGATTGAGTGGAGCATTGATCTGACGGTGATTGTCATTGCTCAGAGATTTGGGCAATTTTCCCACACTGTACTACACCTGATTAAAATTTTTGCCCTTCCACTTTATCTATATCCATAGGCTTCGTCTTTGTCCTCTTCACAACTTACTTTCTTGCATATTTTTGTGTCATCAGTAAATTTAGCTACTGTACATAAAATACCTTTATCGCTTTGTCGACAACATTTATTTAGATGGTAAATAGTTGAGGCCCCAATTGTTTTCAGTTGCAGGTAGAACTTTAATGAATTTAGTGATCTCAGTGTTCATCTTTTTAATTTTCAAGTTATATGTGAGCTCCAATAGTATTTATAGCGTTAAAAAGTTACAAATTTCTGTTCAACTTAACTGCAATGAATGTTTCAGATTATTGAGAAGTGTTTGCTGAAAACTGTCTTTCCTGTCTGCTTTCTTTCAGAATAAAAATACTCCACAGCGTAAAGTAAAAATTCAGGAAATTGTGGGGCCTAAATTAGAGTTGGCATTAAAATTTTTAGAATATATACTGACTAATATCATGACTCGGGAGTGCTTCTTAAATTCATCACAGAAAAAGTTGAACCAGCTTTTGAAGGCCTTGGGAGCAGTCAAGGTAATTTTTAAAGAAAATGTTTTACTTCACTGTTCAATACTGACTATTTGGCATGCTATGCAGGAGTATGGCAGGAACAGTAATATTATCTCTGGCTATCTAAATTATAGTATACCTGGCCATTTAATGTCAAATATGTCCATTCTGGCTAAGTTTGCTGATGATACAAAGATAGGTAGAGGGACAGGTAGTTTTGAGGAGACGGGGATGCTACAAAAGGATTTGGACAGGTTAGGAGAGTGGGCAAAGAGTGGCAGATGGAGTATAATGTGGGAAAATGAGGTCATACACTTTGGTAAGAAGAATAGAAGCATGTACTATTTTCTAAATGGGGAGAAAATTCAGAAGTCTGAAGTGCAGAGACTTGGGAGTTCTAGTCCAGGATTCTCTCAAGGTAAACTTGCAGGTTGAGTCAGTAGTTAGGAAGGTAAATGCAATGTTGGCATTTATTTTGAGGACTTGAATATAAAAGCAGGGATGTACTTCTGAGGCTATATAAAGCTCTGGTCAGGCCACATTTGAAGTATTGCGTGTAGTTTTGGGCCCTATATCTCAGGAAAATGTACTGGCCCTGGAGCGGGTTCAGAGGATGTTCATGAGAATGGTCCCAGGAATGAAAAGCTTAACATATGAGGTACGATTGAGCACTCTAGGTCTATACTGGATGGAGTTTAGAAGGATGCGGGGGATCTAATTGAAACTTACAGAATACTGAATGGCCTGGACAGAGTGGACATTGGGAAGGTGTTTCCATTGGTAGGAGAGACTAGGACCTGCGGACGTAGCTTTAGAGCAAAGGGAAGACCTCTAAGATCAGAGATAAGGAGAAACGTCTTAGCCAGAGAGTGGTGAATCTATCGAATTCACTGTCACAGAAGGCCGTGGAGGCCAGGTCATTGAGTATATTTAAGACGGAGATAGATAGGTTCTTGATTATCAAGGTGATCAAGGGTTACGGGGAGAATGGGGTTGAGAAACTTATCAGCCATGATTGGATGGCAGAGCAGACTCAGTGGGCTGAATGACTTAATTTCTGCTCCTATGTCTTGTGGTCTTATGCCTATGTCTCTCATGTATGGTAGCAGCATTTATCGACAGCTGCTGATGTATTGTATAACTTGTCTATTTGTAAACAATTTTGAAGTTATATATGTAGATTTATGTACCATGAGATCATCTAGCTCATTTAAAATTAATCTTTAAGAGAAAGGAAATGTTCCTGATGACACTACCACATTAAAAGTTAGTAGCTTTGTTAGGCAAAAAATATGCATTTATTCAGCATATTTTTTCATACATGAAAATTCTCATGGCACATCATAGATGCACAGATAAAAATAGACACGAAAGCAAAAGATTGGGGCTTGGGAGAAATTACTGTAACTTTTGTTGAAGAGAAATGTTTAATGGAAGACTTTTAAGTTGACTAAGGGACAGAGCAACGTAAAATTAGGTTGGATGGCCAAAAGAATTTCTCTCAATAGGATGCTTTTAGACGGGGGTGGTTGTGGTGGTGGAAGGAAGGAATGTGTCAAAAAACCTGAATATTAAAAGCATCGTGAGTGGTCGGAACTGTTGTAGATGTGGTGGAGTTTGAGTTCTGGAAGTAATGAATCATAAGGTGGTGAGAATTCTCCACATGTGAGAATTTAGCACTGGGGCTTTTGAGGACTGGGAGCCAATGGAGACAAGCAAGAACGGACATGGTATTTGTGTTGGTCAGTCTAGAATAGAATAAGAGCAGCAGAGTTTTGGATGGAGCTTATAGAGTGAAGAAGATTGGGCATGTCGGAAAATGTTTAAGTAGTTGTGTGTGTGTAGATTTTTTTTAAATTGATAAAAGTTTAGTAACAGATGGGTTGAGGTAGGAGCAAAGACAGGGCAGGGATATTATGCAGACGGACATATGTTTTTTGATGATGAAGTGAACTTGAGATCAGAAGCTCAGTTTGGAGTTGAATAAATGACAAGATTGCGAACAGTCTGATGCATTGAGTCCAACGGTCTGAACGAGGTGTGAAATCGATGGTACAGAACAGAATGCGAGGAAATGACTTAAAGCAGCGATTTCAGGAATCTTGATGTTCCACTGTGGGAATTTTGGGCTCATTGGCAACGAGATTTTGAACAAGCAAACTGACTTTAATGTTAATTGCAGATAGGTCATTGGATAAATCTGCTTTGTTAACTAATGTATGTGTTAAATCTGTTCCTACGTCCGCAGATGATGCTGCCACTGGGTTGCATGCAGTTGAGTAGGATAAGGATGTCACAGGCAGATCATTTCAGAACTTTGGAGCTAATGATGGTGGAGTAGAAAGAGAAGCTAGAGATGCTCTTCTATGATCAGATAGTTATGGGAATCTGGTGAGAAAATCCCACTGCATAGAATAATGAATGTAATGCATTTTAAGAGGCTGGTGTGGGCAGGGAAGATGATAAAACAATGGATCATAGTCACAGTCACAGACGCTGTCATTTATGCCTTTGATTATGACTTTCAGTGCTATGGAGGGGCAGACATTGGCAGAAGTAAAATTGCAGGTAAGATAGGCAGAATATTAACTAGTATGGGGCCATAAATTAGATGAACTGTACAAATGCGCCATCACATTTGAATGCAGAATTCCTTAATTGCTGACTTCCACGTAATCCAGAGAAAAGCACAGCAGATTTTCCACTGAAACTGATCTGAGGAATGCAGGTCCTTTATAACTACCAGACTTGTTTCTTAATACTGATACATAAAAGTTCAATTCACAAATTATTTAAAAAATCAATGTGATTGTAAAAACGTTAAATTCTCAGTTGTATCTTGTAAGTAGAAACTGCTTAGTTGTTTAACTCTTCATTGTAATCTGAGCTGATTTGTGTTATAGGAGCTCCTAACTTCCTTCTTGAACACTTCAGAACTGATGCTTCATAATATAGGTGTGAATACAGCTCTGAAGGCTTTCAGCTTATATTGTCGACTGACAATTCATTTTCAAAACAAGGTACGTAAGTGGTATTATTTAAATGAAAATTAAGTTTGAAGTAACAAACACTGAATGCTGGAGAAGCCCAGCAGGTGTACAGCACCTGTGGAGAGCGAAACAGAGTTGATGTTGAGTCTGGTGTGACTTCTTCAGAACACTATGGTTCTGAAAAAGTCATACCGGATTGTACATTAAAACTTTGTTTCTCTCACCACAGATACTGCCAGACCTCCTGAGCTTTTCCAGCAATTCTGATTGTTTCAGATTTCCAGCATCTGCAATATTTTGCTTTTATTAATTTGGAAGTAAATTATTTGCATTAAATTCTGAAAGATGTTCAGTGTGTGACCTCACTACTGAATTCCTCGGAAGTAACGTATATATTGAGATAATCTTTTCATTTTGTTATAAAGCAGAGGATCACCCCCTCCCTGACAACTAGTTGAAACACCCAAAAAGGAGCACCTCACCCAATAATCTGTGAAAGGAGTGTGGAAAGTGGTGTAACCTGCCTTTCAGCAACTTCTAGTAGTTAAATAAAATAAATCCCTGATACTCACTTTAAAATCAGCAAGTAGAATTCATTTATCTGACTCTAACTGTGAACAAATTAATTAAACTATTAACAAACCGCACAATCCCTTCTAACTACTAGCAATTCCCGAATAAAGCAAAATTCTAATGGTATGCTATTCAATAAATACAAGTCCCACTTATATTAAAAAAAAATTTAGTCCCTTGAAATTACAGCCATTTTATGTGTCTTCCAGAATGTTCTGTGCCTTCTCCATCGATTGTTTGGTCAGGAATACTTTCTCTGTCAATTCTCCTGTCAGGAATATTAACTAGTAATGCAGTTGGTACTGTTGTTATTTAGATGGGACTTCCTCTAAGACTTAGAGGAGGCTGTGAGAGCCAGTGATTCTCTTGAGAGCTGAAGGCTGTTAGCTCTGGCAGATAGCAGCTAGCTCTCTGGAGTCTTTGTCCAACTGCCCCCTTCTTTTATATCCTTGATGACATATCAATATTTCTTAAAATAGGATTGGTCCTATGTTGTCAAAACCATCAGACTTGGATACCAAAAACTTATTGAATTTAAGTACCTGGTTCAAATTGATTGGCTAAGTTCAAAAGCCTTTTGTCTTGGTAAAAGAATCTGCTGCTTGGCCTGCTAACTGTACAGTCTTTGATACAAATGTCTCAAATCGGGTGCTCTCAGTGTACTTGCAAACTTTCAAGCTGCTGCTTACAGTCATCCGTTTTAAATCTCTAAGCACAGAAAAAGTACACGATCTTTTAAAGGGACCACGCAATGCTTTTACACCTAGCACTTTACAAACACCAAATTCTAACTTCCTGCCAATCCACAAGTACTTTGTGGACTTGTACTTTGTTGCACTTTTATTTGCCTTTTACTTTTAAATGTTCACGTTCAGTGTATAGTGTTCACAGGAAAATACTTTGTCATCAAATTTTGAATTCCTACAAATCTGGTGGTCCTGTGATTATGACTGGTGTGGACCCTGAGGTGTGCAGGGCAGGCCAGTATTGAACTCTGCATATCCCTCATCTCAAAATGGAATCTGTCCTTGGTTTCCAGACCAGGAATGAGAAATTTCCATGAAATATCATATTTCATAATTGGGATTTTGGAAATATGCCATTTGGACTGAGCTTTTTTAAAAAGACCCATCTGTCGCTGACTGATGGTCTCTTGTATTGAGCTGCTGTGTGAATTTCCAGCCAGTCTGTCGATGACTTTCAACCTAACCAGCCAGAAACCCACAAAGCAGCTTAATAAGAGAGACTGTCAGTCAGTGACAGATCTTGCTTTTCAATTGGCCCATCAGGAGGTGCTTGTCAGCAACTCTTGGTCAGTTATTTCAGAATCAGTCTTAGCTGGCTCTATAACTCGCTCACATCCACCTTCAATCTTTGTTTCTTCGCTATGTCACAGATATAACTGGCTGCCTTCAGCTGTAGATATGATGTTCATGTTGCTCATAGCACAGATTGTTCTAAGAGAAAGGAGAAATAGTAACATAAAAGATCTAAATTTGCAAAAGAAAAATTATTATGAGATTTCTAGCTGATATATATTTCACTTGTGGGAATGCCTGCACAACCATCTGTGAAGTGTTTTTTTTTTTCTGTCCCATCAGCTTCCACAAAATGTGCACTGACAAAACTGGTTGCTTTGACCTCTGTAACAAATAGTTTGTTGTTGCTGTTGGAGATGAAACTAAGCCCATGTAGAAGTTATTCTTATCTTTTTCTTTAGCTATACTTTTCCATATTGAATTAATTCTGTGAAATATTAGTTTTACTTAGATATTTAAAGTTGTTTTGATTACTTAGTTTTAGATATGCAGTTAAGAGCTTTATTTATTTTTTTGTTAGTTTGCAGAAAACCAAATAGAATAGTTGTGAACCTGGTTTGCATGTGATGGGTGACCAGTCACAATTTTGGTTTTCATTGAATCAATGGATTGAGCAACAAAAACAAATGGGGAGCAGAATCTTTCTGGGCCCTGAACGACATGGGCTATGGTGAGAAGAGGTCAATGAGGCCAGCCTTGATGTTGGAACAATAATTTTCAATTTCAAACAATATTAGACATGCCAGACAAGATTTTAGCTAGTGAATGACAAGAGGCTTATTAACTGTGATTATTGCTCATTACCACCTTCATTACGACCTAAATCTCACCTGATTATTATGCAGGTTCTATTTCCACCATTTGCTGGTTGGAAACTAGATGGCACAAATTCCTAACGTGGAGGTCAGATGTATACCAAGCAGCCCTGCTCACCATTTGCTCCTTTGGGACTTCATAGAGTCATACAGCACAGAAACAGATCCTTTGGTCCAAACAGCCCATGCCGACCATAATCCCAAAATAAACTAGTCTCACCTGCCTGTGCCTGACCTCCATCTTTCCTATCCATTTACTTATCCAAATGTCTTTTAAATGTTGTAATTGTACCTGCATCCACCACTTCCTCAGGAAGTTCATTCCACATGCATCTTGAGAGCCTGCCCCATTGTCTGAGAAGCAGGCTTCAGGGAAGTTGATGCACACACCCCATCTCAGTGGATGCTGACAACTGGTGTATTACTTCTGCACCATAATGGCACATCTCCAATCCATTTTCAGTGCACTTCTCCACTGTCATCTCATATTTTGGGTTATGCTGGCAACTATCATTGCAATGCTGCTACAACCAGACTTTGCATAAAGGCATAGGTACATAGCTCACGGATTGAGCCAGGCTGTATCTCGGGTCTGCTCGCTTGCTGTCTTAGCACTCACTCATTGCCTACCTGGATGCTGTCAGCATCCCTGTTACCTATTAGCACTTTTCCTCCTGATCCAAACCTAACAGATGCACAGTACTTCTGTTTTGATTTATCTTTTGGCACGTACAATCAGTTTAAAAAAAACAAGGACCATCTATTCCTGTGAAACCTATGTCCCATATGTTCGTGTTTATCCAATATTCTTTTAATTTTAACGAAAAGGATTTTTTGTGAGTTGTAATTTCAGAAGCTAATTAAAATGAATATCTCATCTGTTTTTTAAACATTTTTCTAACTGTTAACACCCTTATAATAAACTACTTAATATTAAACATTGAGACAACAAGGTGCAGGGCTGGATGAACACAGCAGGCCAAGCAGAAAGGCTGACGTTTCAGGCCTAGACCCTTCATCAGAAAAGGGTCTAGGCCCGAAACGTCAGCCTTTCTGCTCCTATGATGCTGCTTGGCCTGCTGTGTTCATCCAGCCCTGCACCTTGTTGTCTCGGATTCTCCA